TCTACGCGATATGCAATGATCATCTAACCGAAATTATTTCGTAACGAAATCTAGATTGCAGCAGTCGTTAATTGCTCATTGTATGGTTTATTAGCAGGAATATTAGTCTCTGTAGGCTTTTGATAAATTATTCATTGGGCGGGATGAGACATGCTGTTAAGCTGTTTAGATACAATAATATGGGTGAAATAGAATGCATTTATTTTAATATCTGACAGCATGTCATTAAAGGTATGTCATATCAAATGACAAATTTATAGGTCGAAAGCTCTGTCTTAACGTAATTTATTTTGATTGTTTAAGTTCTTGGCAGTCACGATTTCAGAATAGCCGAGTATAAGAAGACTGTATGAACAAAAAAGTGTCACACCTGCATATCAATTCACACACAGTGATTCTGCATGCATAACTTATGCACGCCCACTCAAAATTGGCAACAGTGTGAACACTGCCTATAAATTCCTACATCTTAATTATACATATTTGTATTCCAGTCATCATTCTGACGTGTTTTTTTTAATTTATACATAATCTATTACTTTTTAACGATTAGAAACAGCACCTAACACTTATGTATGTAATGAGCTTCTAACTATATCACCGGCATGACCTTGAGCGATCTCTGCAAATCATGAACCATCTCTCTTTCTTTTGTGACTAACCACACTGTTTGGTTCACTAATTTATTACTGTCATAAGCGCTCCTGAAGCACTAAATTGCGAAAAAGATAAATGATGTCACTGTTTCTAGTATGAAAAGTTAAAAAGGTGTGTAATTCAGTCATCCACCACAACTTTAAGACATATATTTCTAGTATGACTGGAATATATTTGAACTGTATTTAACATGAAGTACTAAATTCCAAGGACTTAAAGACCGCCATTTCAAAATGAATTCTTCATTTTAAAATAAAATACTTCGAAGTAAAACAAAAACATACACTACGATTTCCTTTAGAAACTCAGAAATAAAAATACAGATCACAATATGCGACCAGTTCTGCCATGTAGCCGGCCAGAACTCTGGTGATTTGAAGTGATTTCACTCCTCCTTAAGGTGATTCTATCTGGTGTTTAGATGACTCCCAAATGATTGGCGAACACTACTGGTTGACATGAGTTGTTCTCAACCTATCGAATCAGTCAGTAAATTACATATGGCGTCATTGTACTAAGAAGTGTGAGCTGCACAAAACCCTGTAACCTTGAAGAAGATCAACCTCGTCTCTGAATCTGCCTCAGTGAATTTATGAAGTTGTCATAAAACTATATTTCTAGCTGAAACTGGTTTAGATTCACACCTTTTGGCTATTAAAATTTATTTCACTTTACCAGTTTTAACCCCAGTATCGATTCTATAAAAATGTGAAGTGGATGTTGGTAATAGTCTTAGATTTAGTAATTAAACATTGTTTGGAGGTAGATGTGAAGAAACAGTGATCCAGGAGAACGAACTAACCAGTGTCCTTGAGACACAAGCAGAGTAAAACCAAGTAAATGACAGTGTAATCATAAAAAAGTGTTGTATTTAAAAAAAATTATTTATTTTAATCCCTTACATTCTGTGTGGAACATAGGAATTCAGGGTAGAACTCTAAAGTTTCTGTAACAGGGGTTCTATTTCCACAGGGTCGGGTTGCTAGCCTCACACCCAGCCTTCCTTCATTACCGGTCTTACTATTGGCTAAGGGAAGTAAAGGTGGACGTCAGCCGAGATTTGAACCCCGGACTACGTGTATGTTCGGCGAGTATTCTACCAGTGAATTTTATCTCGTGCACAGAATTGTTTTAAAATGTAATTAAATAATATCTGATCGCAGAAACAGCAAAGTGAACACACATTTACATGCATACGTAAGATAAATATACAAGCTATCACATCACCAGTTACTGAATGTCATTGAAGTAGGTATATTTGTATACAGAAAACACACCAATATGAATTTTCTCTTAAATAGAAAAACAATTGAAAGTTTGACTATTGCGTTATAACATTTCTGAGACGGAAAATTTATCTGAAACTAGCCTATTATCGTAATTGAGTAAAAATTCTCCTGAGAAACTTAATGAATAATGTAATTTTCGAATTTGACCACGGACTGATATCAATTAGAGAACCATTGAAAACCAACACGTAGTACTGAACACCTGTTTCATCCTAGTCTGGGAATCACCAGCATTACTCACCCACTGTCAGGTTTCGAACCCAGGACATTCTGGTTACAAGGCGAGCTAGCTCGTATACCATTCAGCCACTGGGATCCGATTCACTGGCCAGCCCGTGAATTCTAACTTCTACCAATTCGTGGTTTAGCGCGACCACCAACCAATTTCATTGGTGGGACATCCATCCTCACACTTGACTAGGTGGACCTCATTGGTCACGACTTCTCACTAGAACTCTGGGAAACTCAGTCCTGAAGCAAGTCACTAGAAAGCATTAGCTTAGTTTTCAAGAGTTGGTTTGTAAGGTCAAACTCGGAAAACAAATCTAATCCTTGAAGAATAATGTAATGCCTAAATGACTAAACTGTTGTGCTTTAAGAAAAAATTGAATTAAAAGTCATCATATTCGTCATGTGATACCAGTTCTGATTCTATATTGCACCAAATAAATTTCTACAATTATCACGACTGATAGATGTGACAACGTTCAGACTTTAATTTCCTTGAATTTACAAGTATTCTATCGGTTTCGAACATGGATATTTACCTGTATAAGTAACAGGATCAGTGAAAACAAAGATAACTAGACAGATGTTTCATTGTGGCTTCGTGTTTATTCATCAGCTGTTCTCATTCACAGTTCCGTAAGGAATAGATCATAGAATTTTGAGAACAATACACTTTCCATTATTCATTAACTTTGATGGGAATTTCTGAAGGTTTCAGCAATAAATTATAAGTTCTAGGATATACTTCGTTTCTAACTGATAATATTAGATATTGTCGGTAATGCATGACAAATTGTCAGACGTGTGATAAAAATTCTCATGAAATTTCAACCTATTGACCCAGCGATTGTATATTTAAAAGTCAATCTGAACGAAGAATATTCTCTTCAATAATTTCTCTTCAGGTTCTTACAATTATAAAATATAATATCTGTTATCGCTACATTAAAGGCCAGGTCATCCGAGACATTCTAAGCGAGAACGGATATCCAGAGCCATAATAGGTTACAATAGTCGTAAACATGAACTGACAACGGTGGAGAAAAAGCCTCTGTTTTTACGTCTCCAGTTCAAGGGAGATACTCCTGTGGAGATTCTATCGCAACCTTTAACGAGGGCGATTAAGAAAACTTCTTACTCTGCATGTCTGTGTCTATCCTTCGATAGCCCTCCAATGTTCATCCAGCACCTCAAAGATGTCTTACCTAACCTTAGCTCTTCTTCATGCATATACCATTTCAACTGTTCCCGTGGTTCAAGTTATATAGGGCGCACGATTAGGCAGGTTAGTCTACGGGCTCGAGAACATTTACCAGCTTGGTTCAGCAGAGGAGAAATTAAGTGCATAAAAAGCTCGACCCTGTCACACTTGGTCGATACTGGACATCATATCAATGTCAACACAGCTTTCAGGGTTATATACCGAATTCCGAAGTCGTTATCACCTACAGTTCGCTTACGTCTCATACACATACCTGAAGCTGTTGCAATAAGATTGACTAAACCGGAACTTTGTATCCAAAAAGAACACGTCCAGACGCTGTTCCTACCGTGGCCAAACTTGGATTGATGATTCTTCTTCTCACCAAGAGTGCTCCTTCTCCTTAACCCTCTTGGTTTTTTTCTTTTGCTTATTATTACAAATATTATTATTACGATTATTATTTTTATTATTACAATTATTATTATTATTCATATTATAATTATTATTCGTCATAATTTATGCCCTTCATGCAAACATTCTCTCAACACTATTGAATTTTTCATTTATATACTATCCGGACTTATTATTAGTGATATTATCTCTTTTCTCAATATATGCCTCCACCTCTTTCATTTCACATATTTGTTATTTCATTATGAACCTCTCATTGCAGTCTTACTATCTCCTGTTTAATACAGACCACTTTGTACTAGCCACTCACTCACCTGACACCTTTTATAACTTTGAACTGACTTGTCAATTTTCCTACCTCACACTCTACAAATCTATTATGATTAATCACCACCACTGTCTCCCGTTTTACAATATTTTGTAATCAATTTCAGCCTAGCACGTTTATCACACAAATACGACTATTTATTTTGAGACACCTTAACTAATCTGTTATTCTACGTTAAAAGTGTATCTGCCGCATAACTGGCCTTTATTGTAACGACAACAAATATTACATATTATAACTGTAAGAACCTGAAGAGAAATTATTGAAAAGAATATTCTGCGTTCAGATTGACTTTTAATTCATAATATGGGAATATTCAACACTACCAGATTGTATATTTCATCCAAAACCTGAAAACCGCAGGGTGAGCCAGCACTCCTAAGTTTGTGGCCACTCATTTCTGAACAGTCTCAGACCTGGTTATTCGGTGCTTTGTCGGATATTTCAGGGTACAGTGGGTTTTTGTTAACCCTCATTACAAGGCAGTTCTTCAACTTCATGGTTAATTGAATTCTTACCGAGAGATTCCAATGAAAATTATAAAAACTGGTCATATGGTTCCTGATTTAATTGTTTGTTTGCTCATATCAATCACTCTGACCTACACTAGCTGACTTAGTGATTGGTAAAGAAAACATCGGCAGAATTGATAACAGTCCTACAACTTGGATAAACAATTTGACAAAACACTCTATGAACGATTTTGATGAACAACAGATTGCGGGGTGTGACACCAATACGCTTCTCCTTGAGGAGAAGTTCACCGGGCTTGGTTTCACATGTAACTGCAGAATGCTGTTTATAGGGCAGGCATTTATTCAATAATTTTATTATTTATGAATAGTAATAATAATAATAAAAGTTGTCATTATTATTAATTTACCTTGTGTTCCATTCCAGGAATTGTTTTCTTGTTAGATGCTCGTAGGCTTTGAAGTATCTCCGCGATGCAGCCGGTGATACAAGTTCAGTGATTAGGAATGATGCAAAGAATCCAATTAATGTCCACCATAAACAAAATGAAGTTTCATTCGATGATGAAAGTGGCAGGAGGTTTTCAATATTCTTGCCATCTTGATCTAATACATTCATTGAACTCATATCATACAGGATTAGATGTTATTCGTTTGATTATATTTATGCATGAATGCATAAGCAATTTTTGTATTCAGTTGAAATATTCTGTTGAAATAATGACTACACTAGATACATATATGAAGTTGAAGAGTTTGTTTGATTGGTAGTAGCCAAAAATCAAGTGTTAGCAGAAGAAAAAAAAGCGTTCAATGATTAATCAGATTTTTTGCTTATGAGTGAGTGAGCGTGCGTGCGTATGTACGCATGTATGTGTGTGTGTGTAGATTTGTACACACATGATTCGTTCTCTGATAGGTTAAACAAACTTTCACACATACACACACACGCACAAAAGCTTTTTTTAGTGTGTGTGTTTAACTTTGGAGAATGAAAAAACAACTAATTGGAGGTTACTACTAGCAGTCTAATAATAATAATAATAATAATAATAATAATAATAATAATAATAATAATAATAATAATAATGTGCTATCATAAGAGAAATTTGAAGATTCTGACTTCTCTGTTACTGGATTATACTACTGAGTGTTTCGTGCCGATAGCAAGTCAATAATCACCTTGGTGAACATTTTTCACTGAGTGATAGTCTTCCTTATTGTCGCTTAGCTTCTGGAATAAATTAAATGATTGTGGTTCACTGTTATTAAAATTGCTGAGAATTTCATCTTTCCGTAGATTTATCTATACATAAATCTACAACAGTACTCGTCTTTGTTCTAGACGAAGTCAACTTGTAAAATGTTTATACATGGAAATAATTGTTGAGAATAAGTGCTTTAGGCGCTTTTGCTGCTTCGGTTTACATTGACTCTTCAAATTATTGTCTGATATGGGCAGTTTTTTTTTCGTACACAGTAGCACAGTCAAACTTTGGAGATTTTCTTTTGGCTAAAAGCGCTTCAGGTAAGCATACACTCTAATGGAAGTTCTAAAACACAGACAGTTGTCTCAGTAGAAGTACTGTACCCGTTGTGAGATCTAACAGTTCTGTTTACTTACGCCAAGTTCTGAAAGGTTCTCAAGCACAGCTAAGTCATTTTTCGGTTTTGCTGCATATTCAGTGAACTCATCGGCTAAAATTGTCTTGTGACTAATATTTGACTACTAATTCCAGTGAGCGTTACAGAAACTCGGTTCATCTTATGTCTTTGATTATATCAATGAATCAATTTATTGTCCTGTGAATCATGCCGTATCATATATTATATTACTTCATATGATTATGCGCATTAGGACGTATTTGAAATCTTATCCTATAAGTAGTAGCGTTTCCCTGAGTGATGCATGCAATGAATAAACTAATATGATCAATACAAAATGTTCATAATTTTTACCTAGTAGTCTCAACTCTTCAGATTATTACTTGATTCACTGAGCAAGTATCTAGAGGCTACTGGTCTGACACTAGGCGTGATCCGGATTTTCATTTTACCGTCAGTCACCACCACCCATTATGCCAACAGTAGTCTGTTATTAAAGGTCAGGCCAGACAGTCTCATTATCACAATTTATCTTGACTGCCAGAAGCGCATCTATGTCTGTGGATTCTTCTTTTGCAATACCTAACTCAAAATAATATTGATAACCTCTTACTTTCGATGTCCAGTGTTCTAAATTACTTACTGAACAAGGTGCATGAATGTAACTGCAACACTATACGATTTCCTGTTTATTAACTTCATTTCAATGTATCAGGTGAGGAGGAACTGTTGTATGGTAAATAATATTGAGGCCGTCAGATTTGTAGGTGGTGATTATTATTATTATTCATTATTGTTCCCTTGGGTTCCTAGTGCAACATAGGGCTTCAACTGCACGTCTCCACTTGCTTCTGTCTTCTGCTGTACCTTTCACTTGCATCCATGTTAGTCCATATTATTTCAGCTCCTCTTCACACGATCTCCTCCATGTCACCCTTGGACGTCCCACTACTCGCCGCTTCCCTTTCGTGTTCCACTCGAGCTACGGTCTGACGCGCGATGTCACCCAGTGGCCTCCTCAGCGAGTGTCCAATCCATCTCCACTTTCTCCTGCATATTTGTTGAGCGATTGGTCCTTGTTTCGTTTGTTCACATAGTTTGTTTCTTGTTGGTGATTCTTTCCGGCCATCTGATCTTCAGTACAGAACGAAGATAGCTGTTGATAAAGGTCTGCAACAGGCTGTTGGAAATATTCCTTGTGACACACCCGCCAAGTTTCTGATCCGTATAGAAGAACTGACTGACTTGACGTTCGTATTGAAAATCCGAATTTGTTGTTGATGCTGAGTGATGAAGATTTCCAGATTGGTTTCAGGTTGATGAATGTGTTTCTCGCCTTCCTGATTCTCGATTTGACATCCTCGTCCGTTCCTCCTGTAGTTGAGACAATGATCCCTAGATAAGCGAATGAAGTAACCTCTTTCAAATCCCTCCCGTTGATGGTGATTGGCGCTGGATGTTGCTGTTGTTGTTGTTGTTGTTGGTTGGTTATTTTGATAACCTCCGTCTTGTGTATGTTCAACTGGAGTCCTGTCTTCTCTGGCTGCTTCTTCGACCAGTTTGTCGGTTTTCGCTTGTAGGTCTTCGTTTTGTGTGACGTCAAACATAAATCATCCACGCGCGAAATCCAGGTCTTCTAGGTTCTTCACGTCGGTCCAGGATATCCCTGTCTTCTCGTTTCCCACTGTTTGACACATAATCCAGTCCACCACAATTAGGAATATCATTGGTGATAATAAGCACCCTTGTCTGACTCCTGTGTTTACTCCAAACGCCAGGCTGAGTTTTCCGTTGTGGATCATTTGGCATGTGCCGTTGTCGTACAGCTGTTGAATAAGGTTGATGAATATTTGGGGTACGCCGTAGTACTCGAGTAGTTTCCCCACTTAGATTACTAGCTCACTAGTTTTCTAGCCGGTCCCAAGCCCGAATAAAGAGGAAGGGTTGGGGCGTGGTTCTAGAAACTCCCCCCGCAAAACTTACCAAAATCGCTACAGAAACTTCAAAGCACAAACATATTGAAAAATTCTGTAGGTGGTGAAGTGAACTGAACAGTTTTATGTTATTCTACTCCAAAGCTTGTTCATTATCTGTTTAATTTTAGCAAAGAAAAAAACATTCAGAATTTCAATCCCTAACCCCTGTTTACCCGATACAAAAAGAATACTAATTTCTTTTTCTTGGTGTGGTTGTGTTCTCTGAGCTGGATGGTTTGGTTGCGAAGCTTTCATTGCTCTACTGAGCAACATCTTCAGCGCATACTTCGATGTGAAGTGAGCTTTTAGAATTCTCTATGAGTTTATTAGTCATCTCTTCTAGTAACCCTGAACGTGATTGGTTGTTTTCGTGTGACATTTCACCCCCTAGTTTGCTTGTCTCGGTGCTGGCTGCTTCTTTGGTCTGAATGTCGTTAGTCATTCCTTCTGCTAACCTTGAACGTGATTGGTTGTTTTTGTGTGACTTCTCACTTTCTAGTTCACTTGTTGTGGTGTTGACTGTTTCCTTGACCTGAAGTTTGACTTTGTTTTTGTGTGAATTTCTTCGTATGGATTGGTATATTTTGTCAATCTCTATGTGTCTATTGATTGCTGATTCATTTGAATACCAGGCCTCTAGGAATTCTCTGGCATTTTTGCAGTTCCCTTTGTCTAAGATTTGAACATTGTCCCAGTCGAATTGGTGCCCGTGGTTGTCTGCATGTAGTGATATGAGGGAGTGTATGTCGTGTCTCTTGACAGCTAGTTTGTGTTCGTGAATGCGAAGACAAAGAGGGCGTCCACTTTGACCAATATAATGTTTGTCGCAGTCGTTGCAACTTATCTTGTAGATGACGTTAGTTTTGTCTTCTTTTGCCGTTGAGTCCTTTGGTTTACATAGAACTGAGTGTAGTGACTTTGTTGGTTTATGAGCGACATCGATTCCAAAAGGTTTGAATAGTCTTGCAGTGATTTCGGAGATATCTTTTATATATGGTAGGACAACTTTCCTTGTGTTTTCGCTGGTGGCCTTTGACTTGATTGGTTGAGCTGGGGGTAGATGTCTTTTGATGAAGTTTCGTGGGTATCCATTTCTTTGGAAGACGTCCATAAGATGATTTTCTTCAATTTTCCTCAAGGCGGGAGTGCTGCTGCTGCACATAGAGATTGACAAAATATACCAATCCATACGAAGAAATTCACACAAAAACAAAGTCAAACTTCAGGTCAAGGAAACAGTCAACACCACAACAAGTGAACTAGAAAGTGAGAAGTCACACAAAAACAACCAATCACGTTCAAGGTTAGCAGAAGGAATGACTAACGACATTCAGACCAAAGAAGCAGCCAGCACCGAGACAAGCAAACTAGGGGGTGAAATGTCACACGAAAACAACCAATCACGTTCAGGGTTACTAGAAGAGATGACTAATAAACTCATAGAGAATTCTAAAAGCTCACTTCACATCGAAGTATGCGCTGAAGATGTTGCTCAGTAGAGCAATGAAAGCTTCGCAACCAAACCATCCAGCTCAGAGAACACAACCACACTAAAATTATCCACCTGAGCTACAAATCTTCTCTATTATATCTGAATACTATTTTCTACTTGAACTCTGTCTTTGTAGTGGTGCAATACAGACAATGTGTTCCAGTGGAATATTACTCTCAGATATTCCTACAGTTCACTACTGCATTAGCGATGGGATAATTTACATGTTTGAACATTCTATCTCATTTCGTCTTATGTAGACCAAAATCACACGCTCAGTGATTGGTTGACGAATATAAACTGTACAGATATAAATAGCGCTTTGATAACTTGAAAATATACCTTGGCTTCCGTGTCTTGCCTTCTGCTGTTGCGCCTTTACCTAACTTCCAAATTCCTAATTAGTTGAAATATGCCAGATGTCTAGTTGTTGAAAGAATTTTAGTCACTCCAAGTGTTGTGGAAGGAAATGTAAAAGGCGGTAATCCGTTAAAAACTTCCATTCCCAAAAGTGTTTTTCTTTTTTAACCAGATTCCTTATAGTCAAAGAGTGACTCCACTTCTGTCAACACATCATAAAAAGAGATTTTTCTAAAAAAAACAACGACACGACTATACTTAAATTTTCAGGTATTTAATCCAGGTCACTTGAAGAAATAACATTCCGGTTCCTTTTTTACCGCATTTAA